TTAATGTAGAGGATCTTATGCCTTACCGGGGAACTTTTGAGCCCCCCCTTTGCTTTCTGATGATTTTGCAGGTACTCAGCCTTCACAAGTGCCAATTCCATCATTGCCTGCTGTCTCACCATCAGTTGATGAAATTGAGACCATTATGGATGATCAAATGGTCTTTACCTCTAAGGGGCCCATCCGTCGTTATTTGGTTTTCGTTGGAGAGGTCGATCTGATGAAGATGCCACCTGGATTTTAGAAGATGAATTCCAATAACTTAATCCTGCCTTGCTAGAAGCCTATCAACTCTCTACCTCTCCGGAGGAGAGTTCTTTGCAGCAGGGGGAATTGATAGAAAATATGGCAAATATTACTTTAGGAGGAAATAATTTATTATTTCTTATTGCCTTTCATTAGTTTATTGGTTTTGTTGTTTTTCATTTAACTTTTGTAAGTTTCCTTATTGTGAAGGAAACCAAGCAGCAAGTGGATTCTTATTTTATTAACTTTTGTAAGTTTCCTTCTTGTGAAGGAAACTAGGCAGCAAGTGGATGTTTCCTTGTTAGAAAGGAAACCTCATATGCTTATAAATAGCATGACTTGTATTCAGGAAGGGGAATGTATGTTTGAAGCATTATGATTTTCTGAAAGCTCCCTCCCTCTCTTCAGTTCTGCATCTCTCTTTGTTCTTCCTCTCATATTTCAGTCATTTTTTCTCTTTTCATCTTCTCTGTTCTCACTTCCCCTCCACCTCCCATTCTCTGTTTTTGTTTCTTCTCCCTTATCCTATTCTGTTCAAATCAGTGTGAGCGTGAGTGCTTGTGTTTTACATCAATAATCTATAATTCTCTTCCTTGCTGGGGATGAGTTATAGATGTCATTGTTATTGCGGTTTGGCTTAGCTCTAGACATGCTTCGGATAATGCCTCTACTAATTCAGTATGCTGGATTACGTGAACAAAAGCACTAGTTTAGGATAGAGTAGGGGAAGCCTGTATCTTGTTTATATGTACCCTGTAATTATTACTGGAGACGTATTACTCCTTAGGTGAGTCTTGGATGAGTGGGAAACTTGGATTTCTTTAGTTGAGTTGACTGTTAAATTTATGATTTGATTTAGATGATTTGAATGTTAAATAGATTTATGGTAATACGTATAAAAATGATTGTGAGGGTGACCTGGCCGGGAAACAGATAAGGTGTATTGCATTGTTAATTATGGGGTGGGTAACGTGTTGGGACCGAAAGCCAAGTTGAATATGAGATGAAACGTGAGTTTCGCAAAGGTAATGATTGTTCATGGCCGCTCTGTTGATTTAAATTTCGATGCAAAGGAGTTTTCATTTCTTTTTCTTTTTTTTTTAATGCAAAGGAATTTTCTAGCAACGGGCTTTTAATGCAATAGAAGAAACAAAAAAAGAAAGGGAAAAAAGGGTAGGTGGGGAAGGATGCTATGACATGACGTTTCTTTGTTTTTTTTTTTTTTGGGGTAATGGTATTGCGTGTCGTTTTGATTAGAAGAGAATCAAGGGAGAGGGAAACATGACGGCGGGGTCAATTTATATATTGTGATTCGGGAATGCGGCCTCCAACTTCCCGCCTTAACCGCCCAATGCCAACGATGCTACAATTGAATTCCATACTTACCAACGCCACATGTTCACACGCACCAAATGCCTCCCCTTAAAATTAGGATGATGGACATCTGCATCTGTCAACTTGTGCCCTCGTTTCAGCTTTTTCAGGCACTGACAAATTGAAGTGAAAAGCTTTTCTCAGGCTTAGGTAACAATTTGGGCTACTCCATGGAAAAATTTTAGTTAAGAATTACTGTAAAAAAATTAATTTTAGGCAAAATCAAATTTTTTTTTAAATTTTAATTCAATTCAAAAGATAAAAATTAAAAAATTTTTGACAATGAAAAAATTAAAATATACTTTACTTGTTATTCAATTATTAATTGTTAATTTTTTTATTTTACTTATTAATTTATAAATATGAGTTATAAATTACATGAGTTAATATGTCAATAATTATATAGGATTTGACATTAATTTTTCAATCAAAAGAATCATTATCAATTGTTGAATTGTTAATTTTATTGATTAATTTATTATATCAATTATAAATTACTGATAGGTTTTGTAATTTACTAATATTATTATAAATTACTGACAGATCTTATAATTTAAAATTAATGTTAGTAAATTTACAAGTAAAATTAATAAATTAATAACTAATGTTACTGATTGTCTGATAAAGAATGTAATTTATAAATAATATTGGTTAATTAACAATTATAATAAAAAATGAACAACTAGTGATTCTACGTCACAAGTGAAGGGTATTTTAATATTTTATTGTCGAAATTCTTTTAAATTTTTTTTCCTAGACTAAGTTAAAATTTAAAATTTTTTTAATTCACCTATAATTAATTTTCTATAGTGATCCTTAATTAAAATTTTTCATATCATCACATATATAAATGGGGCAAGGGTGGTCCAGTCAAGTTGTTTGAAGAATCTGACGGGTGTGGCAACGCAGGTTTGGTGTGAGTAATAAACTATTGAACTTCCATACATGCGAAGAAAAGCGTTTGTTTGGATAGCCTCTATAATTAATTTTAGATGTTAAAATTATAATTTTGTGAAAATATATTTAAATATCACTATTACATATTAAATTAATTATAAGTCTAAGATCATGTTTTTTAAAAATATCCAAACACCCGTTATACATTTCAAAATTAATTTTGAACCCAAAATCATGTCTTTCTTTAAAATATTCAAACACTTCTATATATGTAAAAATCAATTATAAATCTAAAAATATGATTTGTAAAACAATTTATATAATTTTTGGATAAGTTTTTAGAAAAGTATAATTGAAAATATGAATTGAAAATCAAATAATAATAGCTTATAAAATAACTGTAATTTTAGGTTCATAATTAATTTTGACATGTATAGGGCTATTTAGATATTTTTAAAAAAATCATGGCTTTGGCTTCATTGTTGATTTTGGCATCAACAAGATTGTTTGGATATTTTTAAGAAAATTATGATTTTGGATTCATAATTAATTTTAACATGTAACAAGAGTTTTTGAATATATTTTTACAAAACTATAGTTTTATCTTATTTTTAACTCTGCTTTTTTATTCTATTTTTTAATTCTGATTAAAATTAATCTTATTAATTAATTTTATAAATTAATTATATAAGTGTGTATATATGTATCACATAACATAATCAATTATATTCAAAATTAATTATATTAATTAATTTTTTAATAATTAATTATACCAAACTAAAGTTCAAGTACACTCATGAGTAGAGGAGGGAGATCATGGGGTCTTTTAATTGCGTTTGATCAATTCACCCAAGTCACTCTCGTCCTTCCCATCCACCAAGTCCAATCTGTCCAACTTCCCATCTACTAAATCAGAAGGAACTAAATCCGCAGCTACTATTACCCATTTCTAAACCTCCCTGCAAATCAATCCCCAGTGTTTTATTCCTCATGCTGCTCTTACCTAATTCTATCTCATAGTCATTTCATTCTTCAATATATTACGCTGGACAAGAATTTAGGCATTTACCCATTCCACTCTTTGACTCCAACCAGATTAGCATCCCATCTGATTTACTTGGATCACATTTACCCATTCCACTCTTGACTCCAACCAGATTAGCATCCCATCTGATTTACTTGGATCACAATTTCTTTCTAATATTAAAAAAAAAATCAGTGCAGATAAAACGATAGTCTTCATCTCTCATTCAACAATAGACCTCATCAAGATAGTGCCCCGGAGTTTCGTGCATTTGAAGCCACCTCTTATATCATACGTCACTGTTTTGAAGATTTAATTTATTTGTTTGACTGGCATTTGACTAGCTAATTTTAGTTGGACTTTCGTCTCATCCTCTCCCTGATTCTCATGCTTGAGGTATGCTGAATATTTTACGTTGATGTCTTCATATCCACATCCATGGTTATTTATCTCCTTTCTTTTAGGATTGTTCTATCACTATGAGCCAAAATGAAAACTTTTCTCCCTTACTAGCTCGGCCAGAATTTGACTAAAGTTTTCAGACCGTCATCAATTTTAATACTTCCCCATTCCGATTTATAAGCCACTGTTAGATAAAATTACATATATCTATAAAATTAATTAAATGCACTTGACAATCTTTTTTTTTAAAGCACAAATATAATTTTTTAAAAATACCCTTTATTTAATAGCTTTATTTGTGAAATACTAAATAAAGAGAAAAAAATATAATAATGAAGGAAGAGTAATATTTAAACAATAAAATAATAAAATATTATTTTTGTCAAAGTTTTTTATACTCAAAAAGTGACTAAACTGGGAGGTTATTTATATTTATAGGTTATATATTTTATTTATATTTTTAAATATTGTTGGGTAAATAAGCAAATTACATCATGAATTTTGGATCTTATAGCACTATAGATTTTGAAACTTATTTATTACATAAATTATTTTTTTAACTTTTAAAAATAGTACAGTTTGATCTCTATCATTAATAAAAGTCAATTTTAATTATTAATTGATAAAAAAATAACCTTAAAAATTATAGAAAAAGACAAGAATTATAATAAAAAATTCAAAAATCACATATAAGGATAAAAAATTTACAGAAAAGGGTAAAAAAATTTTGTTCATTTTCTATAATTTGTGATATCCTTTTTTGTTATTTTTTAGTCAATTAACAGTAAAAGTTAAATTTTATCAATGACAGAAACCAGATTAAATTATTTTCAAAAATTAAAAAAATAATTTACACAATACAAAATTTGAATCTTAGCTTCTAGGGATCATTGTTGAGACCACTTTTGTCAGTGAAACTTGGCCTTTAAACTTATGTCGAATACTTTTATTTTGATAAAAAGATAAATTTAAATCGTTTTAATACAGTTAGATGATTCAAATTTAATCAAGGTGCATAATTTTTTTCATTGGTGAGATATAAAATCCAATATTCACCTTTCAAGATAAGGTTGCGAATTCATTTTTATTTCAAGGCAACTGATTGATCATCAACACAGATGAGCCGCAAATACAACCAAATGACCTAAATGATTTAGCATAAAGATCAATTTGACAAGAGCTTAAAGGCAATTGAATTTCCCCATATTCATTTTCTTCCTCTTCTTTCTTTGAATCAATTATTGTTGTTGTTGTTGTTCTCCTTCTTGATATACTCACTATAATTAACAGATATTTGAAAGACAAAAAAAAAAAAAAAACCACGGAGGTAAAAAGATTCGAATAGGATCTAAAAAAGATTGCACACCACGCGCTTGCTGGGAATGGCAACGAGTCGACTCGCTCTGGGGGCGGTGAGTCCGAACACGTCGCTCATATCCATCTCGCTCGGCTTCATCCCGTCCGGCAGTTCCCAAGTGAAACAGTGAAGAAGATGAGCCACCGCCATGTCCAGCGCGTAGAGTCCGAGTTGCATCCCCGGGCATGACCTCCGACCGGACCCGAACGGAATGAACTCGAAGTTGCTCCCCTTGAAATCGGCAACGCCCTGTTTCAAAAACCGAGAAGGCTTAAAGGCGTCCGGTTCGTCCCAAGAGTACTTGTCCCTCCCGATCGCCCACGCGTTGATCATGACGCGCGACTTCTTGGGGATATAGTAACCCGAAACCTCAGCGTCTTCCGCCGTCTCATGGAGCAGCAGCGGGATGGGCGGGTGAAGGCGCAGCGTCTCCTTGAGGGAGCATTTGAGGTAGGTGAGCTTGTCGAAGTCGGACTCTTCAACTCTACGATCCAAGCCGACCACATCAGCAAGCTCTTGTTGGACCCGTTTTAGATCTTCCGGGTTTCTCATCAGCTCCGCCATCGCCCACTCTATTGCCGACGCCACCGTCTCCGTCCCACCAAACATCACGTCCTGTCATGTTTCGCCGTTGAGTTATTTCTCAATCGCAATTAACAACATAGCTTATTATTCCAATTTTGTGTTACACATACAAAAATATATATATATATATATAATCTACAAGTATAGATTTATAAATAATGCAAAATTTATACAAGCTTGTTTCTAATAAGACTTATCTTACATTCCGTACATATAAAATAAAATATTATTATATAGCTATATATATTGTATGTCATTATAATTTAATAATATTTTGAGATAAAAAGTTTAAAAATAGAGAAAATAATAAATAAAAATTTTGTAAGAACATTAATATCAAATTAAAATTCTTCAACACTGATATTCCTAAATTTTAATAATTCTCTTACCATATTTTAATACTAAAATTCTTAATTTAACATTAATATTATTATAAGTCTCATTCTCCCTGAAAAATATTTTACAAGCGGCAATCATCTTGAAGGATTTCCAATCAGTCACCTGGTGTGTTTAGGTGAACAATCTCGACTCCCTCATTTGCTTCAATAAAAACAGGAGAGTAACACGAAACAAGATCGTCATCACTCTGCACTTCTTTTGGATGGAGAACAAAAGAACAAAGAAAACATGCAATTTTTCTTTTTGACGGAAAAATAAACGAAGCAAATTTTGCGGAGAACCCTGAAGGGTTAAGACAAAGGTGCATTCAACTTCAAAATATGGTACACGCAACCAATCAACTTTGCAGAATCGGCAAGTTTGCAATTGCATGCTTCCAAGCTGCCAACTCCTTTTTGACAAGTTCATGTACAGAATTTATAGATTTAAAACTATAAAAAATTCTTATTATTATTATATTTTTTAAAAAATTAACATGATATAATATGGTTTTAATTTTATGGAGATTATATATTCACATTGAATAATCTTTGATAACGTACCATGATGATGGCTTTTATGTTATCCTTGGTGAGTTTGAAGGAGTTGTGGAGATCCTCAGCCTCAGTGACCTGAGCTTCGTCACTGTAAAAAGCGATCAGCTCGTCCACCATGTCCGTCTCCTCGTGGCTTCTGTCGCTCCTTTTCTGAATATGGTCGTCGATGATCTTGTCTATGAATCCGTCAAGAGACGCACGTGCCTTGGCGAGTCTGGTGTTCAGGCCTTGCGGGTCCATCCAGCCGAGGTAAGGCATGAAGTCGGCGATGTTGAACGCTCCGAACAACTTCGAGAACTCCTGCAGTATCCCAATGAACTCGTCCTGTCCCTCCTGCGAACTCGACCCGAACGCCGCCCGATATATTATGTTCTTGGTCAGTGAAAACACCAGCTCTCCGATGTTCACCGCCTTCTCGGTGTTGCTCGCCACGCTGCGGACCACCGCGTCCACCTCGTCCCGAACCGACTGCCACGATTCTGCCCGCTTGCGGCTGAAGAGCTTCATGACGCACAGCTTCCTCATCTGCCGCCAGAAGGGGCCATAGTGAGCGAACGCCATGTCCGCGCGGTCGTAGGTCAGGTAGCTGATGGCTATGGTGGCTGGTCGGTTGGAAAAGATGTTGTCGTGGACTTGAAGAACTTGACGAGCGGCGTCGGGGTCTGAGATGGCCACCATGTTGAGGAAGCCCATTTTGAGGTGGAAAACGCCGCCGTATTGAGAGGCGAGCTTGGCTAGACCCCTGTGGGTGAGCTGGTCCATCATGAGCATGTTGCCTATGATGGGAAGGCCTTTGGGGCCTGGCGGGAAGGGGGAACGCCGCCGGCCAAACCGAGCGAGCAGGCCCAGAAGTAAGAAGAGCGGGATGACGAACAAGAGTGCCATGGGCAGAGGTTGGTGCAGAGAATCCATGCGGATGGGTTTTGATGTGCAAGTCGCAACTTTGGGCGTTGCTAGGGCGAGGGAGATAGGCATGTGCCCTTAAATAAACCCCAGATTTGAGGGCACAGTTATTACTATTTGATTTTCTTTTTTAAATTATTCCTTGTTTCTTGTTGATCCTCTCCAATAACAGAATGCAATTAAAAATTTGTGATGGCGTAATTAAGATCAAGATTGTATTTATATATTTATATATAGAGTAGTATTTACCGAACTCTGGGACATTGATATAATAGCATTCAAAATGAAAAGGATACTGTGTAAAAAGAGTTAAAACTGAACAACCTGGAAACGTAGCATACTTATCTTTGGGGGGCAAGTGAGAGAAAGGAAATAAGCTGGGAAATGCATGCAAATAATTGGGTCTAAAGTACCAAGTGAAAGTAGGACCAACGAAAGCCAGATATTTGACATTTTTCATTGTAGAGTGACCCAGTGGACCACATACGTTTTTACATATTTACACGTACGGGGTGCCTTGTGTTTATATAAATATGCGTCAAATTAAAAGAAATTTAAACATTTTGTTATATGCTCACTCATTCATTTAATCCGTACATTTATTTCATTATTACTATCACTACTAATTAGTGATTCATGTAGGTTCTTCCCATACGCCAAAGTAATTTTCACGATTTCTTTTTATTATTACAACTTACCTAATCCTTCCAATATTTGTGAAATATCGCCGAGAAAAAAGAGGGAAAAAAAAAAAGCCAAAAATTAAAGGAAACTACTATCAATTTATACCTTTTTCGTTAAATTCTTTTATCGCGATTCTTTTGCTTTCATTGCACAGGTTTAGCATTTTCAAGGATGACTTCCCCATTCTTAGCAATGGTTAGTAATTAATTTTAAGGACCAAAGATACTATTAAATATACTTAGTATATATTGTTAAGTCTTTCTTTTATGAAAGAAAATTAAATATAATTTTTTTTAATTTTAAAAACACCTTTCCTAAAATTCCATTGTAACTTTTTTTTTTAAAAAAAAAGCTGATGATAGTTTTTACCATTGAAAATAAGTATAATGTTTAAGGCTTTTTACCTTCGAGAATTTGGCCTTTTAAAGATTTATATGCTGGCTTAACCTGCCTGTGTTTTAAGTAGTCCATGAAAATATACTTTTTAATGTAATGTAAGTATATTGACATGTATTTATGGCTCTTATATATAAGATGATTCTGAGTTTTTTGCTGAAACTGATGGATTTTGAAGTTTAATTTCAACTACTACTCTTAGATTTTACCTTCTCTATTACGTGTTGTTGCTAAGAAAACCATGAATGATGGCTTGACCCCTCTTAAAGCTTTTGAATTTGAGTATAGGTTTACCAAATAACCTATGCAATTTTGAATTTTGACTTTAAAAAAACATTTTGCAATCTTCAAATACATCTTATGTGATACACTACGTCATTCATCACCATGTTACTTGTTTTCTGTGAAAAATTGAGTGAAACTTGACAAGCTAGAGAATATCTTACATAACTTCACTATTTCGATCGAATGAGTCCACTCGTATCAATTAATGCCTTCCATGCACATCTGTCAATCAATCAAAGTATCAACACACACACACACACACACAAATATATGCATAAGGAAACCCACACCATCCGTTTAAAAATAAACATCCATAAGATAACTTATTTTTCAAACTCCGGATAATATATTAATAATACCTAATTATAATATTCAAAGGATTGGCTGAAACGGTTTATCTTTTTGTGTCTCTCGAAATCGATCACAATATATATCCCCAACCATCAGATCGGAAAACGCCACTAAATTAAAATAGTGATGTACCCTCTTATTATTTTTGAATCATAGACACTTTTACTAATTATGTTGGTATACATTTTTTTAATCTTTTTTTAGAATTCATAATTTTGTGTTACTGAGTAATTGAGTGGAAATGATTTGGTTGTTTTTTTTTTCCGTTCATATTAGTTTAATCAAATAAAATACAGGGAGACAGGGAGTGTGATTTTCAGAATAATATAGTGACACTAAAACTACCACAATCTCTCATTTCAGGTGAGAAATAATGAGACAAGAAATTCAATAAATGATCTCAGCAACTTATACATCAAGTTGGCAAGAAGTACACCCAAGAGAGTTAATGATAGGTTGCATTGGATATGGCCTTATATTTATTGTCCAGTTCCGTCGTCCCTCCACTCCAACCAGTACAAGCAACATATATAGTATTTATATTTGGTTAATATAGATTCAGTCAAACACCATATTTTACAACAACAGATGACAACTTTTGATGTTTAAGTTTGCTTTAATGGGAGTTAATGAATTTATAGTTTGCTTTCTATGCGTGTTTTGATCTTGCTGCCTTAGCAAGAAAATCTGAAAGGCATGAGAAACTGTTGGCTATCTACCTCTAGTTTTGTCTTTCTTATTTCAATACGATCCACATTATCCCTTTGCGATATCTATTGATGTCAGACTCATCAGATATTTTCTCGCCCAACAGTATTAAGTTTGATTCATTGTTGAGTAATTTCACCGCCCTTTTACATATACAACTCATTTCGCCTGTGTGACAGATTATTAATTAATTATTGATGATGATGATAATAATAATAATAATAATTTTGAAACCGAGCTATGCATCTATATGATGAGAGATTCAAAATATATAGGTCGAACCTAGTGATCATTCATCGGCCTCGAAAGCTGACAGATTTGATGTCTCACCTCATTGTGCTTACTGAAAAGCAAGGGTCACTCTCTTGGATAGACATCCTAGACCCATTGACGGTGTCGTTTCACCATTCCTCCAAATTTACTCGATTAATTAATTCCCCTCTTCAATTATATGCAATAAACTACGCATGATTATGTAGGTGCAAGCTTCCCAAGCTGCGGTTCCTGAAAACTTCAATAACTCAGATTTGATTTGGAGTGCTTAATGGTCAACAAGTTTCCATAAGATAAGGGAGCATTTGCTGTTACCCGTCTATATTCAAAGTGGTTACAAGACAGGGAAAAAAAAGCGTAATTATTATTGAATCGATCAAGTTAATTGTTATAATGATAGCTGGATCTGTATGCTCGAAGAAAAGAGAGTTATTGAATAAAGAATGTTATCTCTATATCTATACGAACAGATTGAATGAAACTATTGTAATTAGGAATTGAAGGATCTTTCGTCACAAGAAATAGTGAAAGGATCTCGGGGAATGAGGTGGCTACACAGGAACTAACCACGTCATAACGTAGGCTTATCACACACACACACACTCACTCGCTCAGAGCTTCTTTTGATTGAAAGAAAAGTAAAAATACTAGACAGAAACCCATAAGACAAGTTCTCCACATTTGCTACTGTCACAGTTCATTCATCAGAAATTCAAATTTAAATGATAATCTAGAAACATGAACAATATTACTTCCAAAAATAATCAAATTTAAAATATTAATAAGAAACCCTTTTTTTATGTGTGACACATGACTGTGTTTCGAAATCTGTTTGCGAACTCCATGGCATTGGGAAAACTAGGGTGTAAATGATAATTTTAGTTTATGGAACCTAAATTTTAGGACAGCCAAGCTAGTTTGAATGGTATACTAGCCTTGGTTTGAGCCTTTCAACCAAAATCCAAGCATGTATATATGAGTCCAAGCTTACAGTTTTGAATATTATGTCTCTACTTTTTATAATTTTTTTATCCTAAATTATAAGATATTTTTAAACAAAATCACATATATTAATAAAATTCATTAAATACACTCATAATCTTACTTTTTAAAACAAAAATATAAATTTTAAAATATGCCCTCCATTTAATACTTCATTTATAAAAGAATATACAAAAAGAGAGGATATATAAAAAAGATAATATTAAAAAATATTAAGACTTGTTTTTGTTAAAATGTCTTATAATTTGGAATATTAAATCTTCTCTAAAATTATTTTATAATTTGAGAAGCAGGTAGTATTATATATTAATATAAATATTATATTTGGGAATTTGAAAAAACTCAAATACCACCGAGTGATTTTTAAAAATTAGAATGTCTTATTAATTGTAACAATGAAGACAAGGAAAGTATATATTTCATGTTATAGAAAAACTTAAAAAATGTTATATGAGGTCGTCCATATATGAGTGTACTAAAAAAGATGTGCAAAATCTCACATCAAATCAAGTTGAGGAAGAACTTATAAATTTAAATTTTGAGATTTTAAGTTACAATGTAATGTTTAGTTATTCTTGCTCATCTCTCCTCCATCCCCATTTTCAGGTAGTCGCTCTCTATTCTTAACATGATCCATATAGGAGGAGCCACTACTACAAAATACCCCCTTACTTGACGGTTATTTTAAAAATTATTTGATGGTTTTTAACCGTCAAGTAATGAGGCGCCATATATTTATTTGACAGTTAAAAACCGTCAAATATTTTAGAGATTACTTGACGGTTATTTCAAAATAACCGTCAAATAATCACTTAAACATTTGCATATACTGCAGCAATATACTTTACGGTTATTTTAAATAACCGTCAAGTATTTAGTAATATTTGACGGTTATTTTGTAACAAGCGTCAAATATGCTTTCGCAAATTTTGTGTGCCAAATACTTGACGATTATTATGAAATAACCGTCAAGTATTCGTACATACTTGACGGTTATTTTGAAATAACCGTCAAGTAAACTTATACTTGACGTTTCTTTCTAAATAACCATCAAGTATTTATGATGTGTTTTTTTAAAAAGCAGCCCCCCTACAAATACAAAGCAATCAAATATATATACTAGCCAACCAACAATAAAAAATAATTGAATAATTATTTATATTGAAATTACAATCTAAATATCTTTAATTTATCTTATATCTACCTATACTCTAAACCCGATGCCATAAAAAAATCTATAACTTTACCTACTTTACAAGTTTAAATTTCAAAATTAATTGGCCTCAGACATAAAATTGACCAAAAAAATAAATGTGTACACCAAAACTAATTGGGTCTAACCACTGCTGCTATCCACATGTTAAACACAGCCTGAGCTACCTCTTCAA